AACCGTTTTACCATTTACCCCGAATGCACACGAGCGTCTTTTTTCCGTGCAATGTGTCTTCGTTGCTTTTGAGAACACAAAGAAAAATGACCGCACGAAAAAGGAGCGATTTTTCTCGTTAAGATTATGTCTTTCTGGGTTTTTTCTCTTGAAAGCAAGATCGTACGTGAAATCCGTCGCTTGTGTTTAGGGTGAGATTATGTTCATTATCGAAATAGTCAAGTTCGAAAATTAGAACGTCGGCAATTTTTCTAATTGAGGTAGTCGTCAACAACTTTAATAAATGTAATGTAATAGTTACATTTAATTGCTAGTTATAAACTTATACTTGATAAATATTTTTATATTTAAAGAAACTATACTTGCTAAAGTTTATTCTTTGTTATCATATAATTATTATATATTCCAAAACATGGTTATTTATTCGATAATGAAATATTCACTTTAATTTGAGTGAAATATTTACTTCAATTTATAATTAACATTTTTTTTTTGTCAAATTTTATTTTTATTGTTGAGTGCAGTTACTCGAATAACAAGTAACGAATCCTATTTATTACATATTAAATTTCATATCTTCTTGAATTTATTTAAAATTTTTGTATTTCTAACTTACTACATGAAATTGTAACTTTAATTTACTATCTAAAATTGTAACTTTCATCTCCAATAAAAAATTATATTTTTAATTTCCAATATAAAATTGTACTTTTAATTTCAAATTTCAAATTCAAATTTAACTTGCAATTTAAAAAATTTGATTTATTATCCATTATTCGACTAACGTCCACTGTTATTTATAAATCAATATCGACCAACACAGATTCCATTAATTAATTCATTTTCAGTTTGTTCTTCAAAGTTTAGTTTTACTGATTCATAAAAAAGTGTTAAATAAACTATGCGTTGCAAATGATTTCACCTTCAAATTATTTTATTAAGTACATGAGCAAGAAGAAGGTCGAAAACTGTCACTCTGTCGAAATTATGAAAGTATTCAAAATAAAAAAATGGCATTTTCTGGCAGCGAATCGTGTCTGCAGAGAGTCCTCGAGGTATCAGTTAGAAAGAGCATGAATTGTTGGCTTTGTAATCGATACTTCAAGGCATCAATGCGTCCATTGTAGCTTCCTGTTGCTACTTTGATCAACTCGAGTCTAACTACGATTCGAACGCGATCAGTCTTGATCAAGAATTTTTATTCACCTCAGGGAAACGACGAATTCAAATATTCGATTGAACAACAAATTTTAATTCGTTTTTAAGAAGAAATGTGACTACAAATCTTGTTATACAATTTATTAATCGTTTTTTCAATAAGGTGAAGTGGGGTAGGTGCAGACTGGTTTTTGTAAAATTGGTATTTAAACGTAAGTATTTTCAGCCCGCTATGTAAATACCTAACGCTGTCGATATCGAACACTTTGCACAAATACTACTATTTAATTAATATTAATTAGGACCTTAATTTTCCTTGTACATTTTAATTTTGATAGGAAATTGTTTAAAATGTAAACTACTCTGCACTTTCCCCGAAAATGCGGTAAGAGCGTAACTTGAAATTAAATACTTTGGAACTTTATTTCATATGCAATGGGGCAAGAGCAGAATTATCAACAAATCTGCTATAAAATGCTTTTTACTGCATTATGCAAGTACTCTATACTGCAAGCAAGTACTCTAAGCTGAAATATAAAAGGGGATATAGTGAAACAAAAGAAGGAAACAAACATACTAAATGGAGAAATTTGGCTCATATTGTAATAAAAATAGCTTGTATATGCACCTGGCCTGATTACGAACTTACCCCACTTCATCTTAATAATAATAATAATAAAATCTTTAAATGTTCTTATATCTAGTGCTAATGACCTAGACACATATTATTAACTTTTTAACCTACTATTTTCTCAGTAGTCAGTCAGAGTTAATTAATTATTACTGCAATGTTAAGATAAATGAAAAACGCTGAAATATATTTTGGATTCAGGGATCTTTGATTAATTTTGCAAATTATGATGAGTACTAAACACCAATTTTACTTATGGTGCAAATTTAAGTTTGTTGTATCTGAACCCTAATGTGCGTCACGAGTGCGTCACAATATAAGTCGAAGGGTGAAGAACATGTTCCTGAGTAACTTTTCGCTAAAATTTAATCCTTAATGTACATTAAAAAATCGTTAACCATAAAAGATTTGTAGGAATCAAGATTTTGTACTTGATCTGATAGCAAAAATCCTTATGATTCGTATTTTAGGCCATGTCTAACAAGAATTATGTAATAGATGAATTTATAAATCAAGCTGAACAAATTTAAATTATTTTAAATTTCAAGTTGTGTAACCGGAATATTATTTTAATCGAACTTTACTTAACATGTTTTTTAACCCGTAATGGTTACACTGGGGTATGCGACTGCAGTCAATTTAGTTTTAATTTCAGCCACTTTACATAAAAAATAACTTTTTAGAAATCCTGATATTTTTGCTATTCTTCTCCTCAAACAATTCAATGCCACGAGTGTGCACATATAATTTTAACTCATTATATTAAAATTGAAAAAAGGTTATAATTTTTCTATGAAAACCATAATTTTTTACGTTTCTAAATTTTTTTATATAATATGTTACAACTTTCAAAGATTATTTATAATTTTTTTCAAATTAGAACAATGAGTAGTTTCTTTGAAAGACATACTTTGTAATATTTTTTGTGGTTGGAGTTTTGTACGTCCCAGTATGATCTTTTAATGAAGTGCCACCGTTGTAATAAGCAACTGGCGATGATTAAGTTATAAGGAAAAACTCAGCACGATCTCAGCATGTTTACGAACTTAGCCTACTTCACCTTATATAATATATAATAGTTAAATTAAACTGAACGTAAACTAATCATATAATGATATCATTTTCGTGCCATTAATGACATGGAAATCGTAAGATATTGCAGTGCTACCAATTACATATACGTAAATCGGGACAACACTCAGGATTTCATTCGACTTTCATTTTTGTTTGATATTACTTTTCAGAAACTGTGTAAGTTTATGAAGCTTTTAACAAATTACCCTAAAATGTAAGTTCGCAAATCAAGTTAGGTAAAGAGAAAACAGTGTCAAGGCATAAACTTCAATAAATGTAATCTACTGAAAACACGGACATAACTGTTCGGTCCAATAAAAAACACAGATAAATGAATTTTCTGTTGTAACAAAATTGTTTGTCCGAAATCGAACATAATGATCGATAGACCCATAATGCTCGATTATGGTCGATAACGAGAAAACAAGCGATATCGAAGAAGAAACAGCAAAAAGAAAAGTCAAAGCGGTGAGCATCAAGTTACTTAGGGTTCTTCATTGAAATCGATTAGTTATCGATCAAAGTGATTTATTACTATAAATTTACGCGACGAAATAAATATTTTCCCTTATTTTTAATGAAAAATAACACTTTAATGAAACGTTAACATGCACAATTTGCTTCCATCACTAACCAACGTTGCTGAATCGATTTTAACTTGCATAATCTTGCAATTGAATGTTCTTTTCGATCATTATCGTCGTTTTTGAATGTCATTGTGCTATTGTAATTGATCGATCGTTTATTGGACGTTTTAACATCGTTAATCGGCGTTAAATTAAGTCATTATTTTGTGGTTGCCGGTGATCGTAGAACTTAATCTCTTTCTGCTAACAGCAAATTAAATTGATCTTTATTTTAAGGATTAATGTTATATTGGTAATTAATAATTTCTGTTTTTAAATGATATTTTGTGAATGACAGAAATTTCTGAAATTTTCTATTTTTCTTTTGGTAATGGGTATTTATATGAATTTATGACGTACAGGCTTTTTATATTTAATATACATAGTGGGAGAGTATGTTGCCATGATTGATGAAAATAGTTTTATGTATACAGAGTGTTGTTAGTTGGTAAATTTAAATAAATTTTGTATTTGGAATTTTAGGATTTTGGGATTTTGAGATTTTTAGTATTTTAGGACTTTTAGTATTTTAGAATTTTTAGTATTTTAGGATTTTTAGGATTTTTAGTATTTTAGGATTTTTAGTATTTTAGGATTTTTAGTATTTTAGGATTTTTAGTATTTTAGGATTTTTAGTATTTTAGGATTTTTTGTATTTTAGGATTTTCGAATTTTTGAGTTGCATGATAGAGAATTTGGGGATTTAAGAATTTAAAAATTGGGGAATTTGGAAATATTGGAATTTTAGAGTTTTAGTGTTTTGGAATTTGAGAGTTTGGGAGTTTAGAAATTTAAAATGTGAAAATTTAGAAATTCTAAAATTGGTATTTTCAGCGACTTGGAGGTTTCAGAATTTGAAAAGTATGAAATTATGAAATTTCTAATTTCGGAGATTTGGGAATCTATAATTTTGAAGCTTTGGAAATTTGAAAAGTAAGGGATTAAGGAATTTAGAAAGTATAGGATTTGCTAAGAAATTTGGGAGTATAGAAAGTCAAAAATTTTAAAATATAGAAATTCGAAAGTGCAGGTATTTGAAAATTTGAAGAATAGTGAATTTAGAAAATCGAAAAGTTGGAAATCTAGAAATTCAAGAACTTAAGAGTTAGATAATTTAAAAAGTCAGAGATTTGAAAATTTTGTAATTTGGAAGTTGTAGACAATCATGGCTTTGAAAATCTAGAAATATAAACATTTGGGGATTTGAAAATTTACAAATTTGAATTTCTAGTGATATTAGAAAATTGAGGAAATGGAAAATTTATAAAGTTACAAAATTACAGAAATTAAAATTACGAAATAAGAAAATCCCTATTGATTTCCATGAAACCCGTCCTAAAATGGTGAGGAACTATGTGAAATACCATGCAAACGGCAATATACTCTACTATGCTCGAATACAAATTTACTAATATATTAATTAAGTAAAATAACCCTCCCAAACAGCCCATGACACTAAATTTTGAATTTGAAGGTATTACATATGTACTGATTATAAAATTATAACTCACCCTGACTCGTGGTTCCGGAAGATTCGTGTACACACCTATCTCTTCCCTGGCGGTAATATCCGGATACCGATTTCTCGTGAACAAAGCTTCTAGTTCCTGAAGTTGGTATGACGTGAAATGTGTCCTTTGTCTTCTTTTGCTTTTGTTCTTTTTCCCATCTTTATCGTCCGTGTCGTTTTCACCACCGACAGCACTGGGTGAAACCACCCCTCCGGCTGTACCCAATTCGTCTTTCACCTCTATCGGCGTCCAAACACCTGAAAGTGTTAGAGTACAACAATTCACGCGAAAATTATAAAGCTTACCCTACATACGCGATTTTAATCGCGGGTTTGCTCTTTTTGTGAAACAAGGCTTCATACTTGGGGAGAAGAGTTTCAGTTTCTGAGTTTAATTTTAAAGGGATTGATATTATTGACATAATACAGTTTTTATTGATACAATTAAGTTTATTGCTATTTTCTTGTTAGTGTTGGTAATTTATGAGGGTTGAACATTATTTTCTAAGCTTGAAGAAATGCAGGAAAGGGTTGAAATTCGAAAGCTTCAAATAATTCGAAATTCGAAAATCGAAAGCTTCAAATAATTTGTAACCCTAAAATTTGTCAATATTATTGTCAATACTATTGAGGGATCGGTTTGTTCGGGGGTCGTTGGGTACGATCGGGCGCGATCGGTCGAGCGGGCGACTCGGACAATTGGCGCCAAGAAAATTTGGCGTTACTGTGATTTGGCGCGGAAAATTAGCGAGAGGACAAGGGATCAGATGGCATTTGTTTCTTTTTACGTGGGAATTGGGAGAGAATGAGGAAAACGGCCTGGCGTCGCGGGTCAGTCTTGTAACGGTTGAAGTATTACGTTGTCCGAAAAGTTGTTGCATAAATTTCTGTAGTTGATTTCTGTAGTTTTGTTTGAATTATTAAATTGTTTTGTTACCGTTATTCCTAAAAAACATTTATCCGTCAACCTCGATTATTTCGATCTTACACTATAATATAATATTATTGTTAATACTCTTGACAAATTTTATGCTACACCTAAAATCTGCTAACTGTTTTACTTCTTAATTCTGTTAAATGCTTTGAGTAATTTTAGAATCTGTTGAATACTCTGCTTAATTCTAAAATCTGCACAATATTCTGTTTTATACTATAATCCATCAAATACTATGCTTTATACTAAAATCCATCGAATACTCTGTTTAATACTAAAATCTATCATATACTATGCTTAATACTAAAATCCATCAGATACTCTGCCTAGCTCTAAAATCTGCTAAATACTCTGCCTAATTGTAAAATCTGCTAAATGCTCTGCCTAACTCTAAAATCTGTACTCTGCCTAGCCTTAAAATTCGAGCCTTTCTCTTAGCATTAAAATCCATCAAGTCTGCCTAATCCCAAAATCCCTTTAATATTCTATCAAACCTTAAAATGCACCAAATACTCTACTTAACTTTGAAATCCATTAAATACTTTGTCTAACTCTAATTTTCTAAAAGAATAAAACGAGAAATATCGACCAGAGAATTTTCTATCATATCATCAACTTTAGTATCAAAGTCTAAAGAAGTAACGAAACACTCACGTTTATTAAGAATACCTAATGTACCATAAAGTTTCATGTTAAATGTTTAGAATAGCAATAGCAGTGTATAGTAAGAGTACATATAATAACTTTATGTAAGACAGTTTTGAGGTTAATGTTCAAAGCGCTGCATCAGAGTTTATTCCTTGGAGCCTTAAACAATTCGATAAATATTATATCTATTCTTGCAGACGATAAAAATTAGCCTGTAATGATAAAGAAAGAATTTTATCGCTGATAAAATTCACCAGGTTCGTTCTTTCTAGAGCTACCATTCGTCCCGGTGTTTCGCGGTGTTACGATTGGTCCGAAACCGAGTGACGAAATAACGTTTCGAGATTTCATTTTGAAACGCAATCGGTGAGTTATCGACCACCACGAAGTATCTCTGCAGTCATCGACAGATATTCAAATTTGATTGATAAACAAATTATAATGGAAAAATATTATGAAATTATTGTGAAGTTATTTACAATATTTATTTTTCGTAACATCTTTATAATGATAATACAAATTGCAATAAAACTTGTCGCCGTATAATAAACTTTTATTTAATAGTAGAGTTTACTTGCATTTTCTAATTAAACTGAAATTCGACTAAAAATAATCTAATTCTAATAATTTATGTTAAATAATTTAACTAAGTTTAATTTCAATAATTTATATAAAGTAATTTAACTGACACAAAATAATTTATTTAAGAATAATTCAATTTGAACAATTTAACTAAAATAATTTAACTAGTTAGAATTTGAATAGTTTAACTGAGGATTATTTTATTTAATTAGCTTATTTAAAATAATTTAACCCAAACAATTAAATAAAAAATAACTTCATATTCCTTTCCGAAAGCAGAACCTCATTTACAATTTTTATTTCTAATTTCTAAATAAATAAATTCGGAAAACTATTCAGATTTTTGATAGCGACATGAAACGCTAAGTAACGTTTTTAAATTTAAGATTTCAAAATTTGAACGATGTCGAAAACAATTTGAAACAAATCATCTATTAAATTGTTTTATATTGTACAATATAAGGAAAGGTTATGAATATTAGGTTGTTACAAAAAATGGCGGATTGTGAAGTATAAAATGTCTGACATAACCTTATATACATATACGGTGATTTAAAAAAGACGGTACAATTTTCGTTAATGAACAGCTTTAAATTGTGAAACGATTACTCTATTATTTGTTACAATACAAAACACGCTATTTTTTATTAAGAATATTGTGCAAACGGATGAATAGACATTTTCGTAAAGTTTTAATCTACAAATTGATATGCCATGAACACTATTTTGAGGTACTTATTTATTCGTGACATACAATAATGTGCCTCAAAGTCAGTCACCATTTGCGAAAGCTAGCGATCAGCCATTTTACATTACGAACATTACTGAAAGATCTTTCTAGCCAACTTCTTCGAACTTTAAGCATTAAACTGATATACATAAGTGTTATTTTATGATATTTTTCTATCATTATTAACAAAAGTTAGCACATAGCGTGTTAAGAAAAGTTTATTGTAAACGTTACAAATAAAATTTATTATATGTATACGTTTCAAATTTAAGTGCTTTTAATTTTGTGGGGTTTCAAATTTCAGACACGTCGACATTTAAATATTTCAAGTTTGAAGCATTTTGTATTAGAATTGTAATTTTGAAGCTTTCCAAGCTCAAAACGTATCATGCTTGAAGCATTCTAAGTTTCCAACGTTATAAATTTTAAGTGTTCCCAGATTCACATGTTTTGATCAAACGTTTCAAGTTTCATTTTAAATTTGATGCATTTCAAGTTTAAGGTGTTTCGAGTAAAGTTCTGCATTTAAAATTTCCCAACTTTCAACATTTCGAATTTGAAACGTTTTGCAAGTGTAAAGCGTTTCAAGCATAAAACGTTTTGAGCTTGAAGCATTTTGAAGTTCAAATCCTTCGTGTTTGAAATGTTATAAATTTCAAACTTTCTTAGACTAAAAACAATGACAGTCAATAAATGAAATAATGTGAATAGCGTGATACAGTTATTATTAGCATTATTCTTATTTGCTGAAATGTAACACTAGAAGTGTTCCTGTTAGGGATAGACCTTCTTTTACTTTGGGTCCACCTCACGCGCCAACTTGTGGGTTGACATCTGTACAAGATTGGGTGGAAATGTAGATGTAAGTGACGTACGATGCGTTTAGGTTTTCCGCAAAAAAAGTAATCACAGCATATAGTAAAAGCAAGAACCTTGACATAAATAGAGAACTGTAAATGAAAAACTCCACTGCTAAGATTAAGGGTTCTGATACAGATGTAAATAATAATAAACTAAAAACACTTGATAGAATTATCGACTCCTTCAGTGTTATTGCTGCTACGGGTAAAGAATCTAACCGAAGGTCTAATCCTTCTCTATGGTATACGAGGTCTGTCCCAAAAGTATCCGACCTTCCTTCATATTTCTCTGCTGGTGTTATCTTGCGTCATCAGGCTGGTGACATCCTTCGAAGTAGTCCCCATTTGATTGTAGAATACTCTGCCAACGACCTTTCTACTTATGGAAACATTCCTGGAACTCGTTTTTCGGAATAGCCTTTAGAGCGTTCGTCGTATTAGTTTCGACCGTTTCTTTATCGTCGAATTGGTGTCCTTTGAGTGGCATTTTCAATTTTGGAAACAACCAAAAATCGCAAGAAGCCACATCAGGACTGTACGGAGGCTGACGGAGCTGTATAACTTTGTGCTTCGTCAAATATTGCTGCACAAGATTCGATACATGCGCTGGCGCATTATCGTGATGAAGAAGCCAATCACCGCTTGACCAAAACTGAGGCCAAAACTAATTTTCGGTATTCCAAGATCACATTCTAGTTCTCGCACAGTCAATCGACGATTATCGTTGATCGCAAGTCGCACACGTTCACTATTGTTAGGTGTTGTTGTCGTGGAAGGCCGCCCAGAGCGTGGGTTACTATCAACAGATGTGCGGCCATCTTTGAACCGCTTATACCAGTCATTGATTTGTGTGTTGCTCATATACTCATTCCTAAATACGTTCTTGATCATATCGATGGTTTCCGCACAACTCTTTTCGAGTTTTAAGGAAAATTTGTTGCAAATTCGTTGTTCCGATCCTTCCCTTATTTTTCACAACAACAGAATGCGACGAACGTAAAAAACGCTTCGTAAACAAATGCACGTTGCACATGAACTAAGGCGTCCCGACGAAAACTACGATATCGTGGGAGTTCGTAAAACTTTGCAGTTGATACTCATACCCGGCAAATGACGCTAAAATTGTCAGGTGCGAAGAAATTAAGGAAGGTCGGATACTTTTGGGACAGACCTCGTATACAAAATATATAATACATTCTGAAGCCTAACAGTAGGCCTAAACAGTGTGTACATGAGAAATTGATTGACAAGAAGAATGCGGCAAGGTATGAATTTATAGCATGGTGATTATGATGAATAATTAGACCCTCAATCGACCTCACGTGCCAACTTGTGAGTTGACATCGTTACGTTTTTATTTTGTAAAACGTTCACGAGTATAGGACCCGTACATAAACGAAAGTTCAGACCCGATTTACTGACATCGAATTATGACTGTAATTGTGGACCGTTTAGATTGTTCGATCGGTAATCTTTACCAGACTGTGCCCGGCTGTTCCAGAATAACACGAATGTGTTTGTCATGACCGTGACAGTGACAGGTGAGGGTATTTTGCCCCCTGACTCCGCAACAGCAAATCGCCGGGCTCCCTTACTCGTATTGACAGCACCGTGATCGATTGCCTCCTTTTTCAAAGAGCACCGCTATCACTGCGTCTGATGATGCCGCTAACTATCTTATGGGTCGAAACGACCCTGTCTGTTTACCGACGTACCTAACGGACATGAGGTCGAGCCGATATCGACTTACAAGATCGGACCAACTTTTTTATCAATGTTTTTCAATTTATTCAACATCATCCTAATCTGTACGCTTGTAATACTCGAAATACAACCTACTTTCATGAGAACATGATATTTCTGGCTTCTTCGGGGATAAGTTTAGATACTGGAGAAAATTGTTGGATATTCTTGTGGTTTTATCTAATTAGTTTAATAGTAGTTATTTTTTGAATTAGTATTAGGTAGTTAGTTATGTAGTTTCGTTGTTCAGTAATAAAGTATTGATATGAGGAGAGCAACTGAACGTCCACGTGCAAGTGCGCTAGTGTGTACTCATGGTTAGTTAGATTTGTTATTTGTGAATTTGAATTTCCCTCATTTAAGTTTCAGTATTTGTAAATTTTTTCTTTGTTTAGTTTGTACATTATTGAATTTTCAATTTTTTAAATTTGTAAATAATTAAATTTTTAATTTTCTTCCTATGTATATTATTAATATACTTTTCACTAGAGTATATTTTCCCCAACAATTCTACGATACAATCACTCAATTCTAAAACTAATACTTGTTCACATATCACTGCCATAATATAAAGAAATTTTACAAGAAGTTCGTGACATAACTTTGATAATCTTTCCGAAATAAAAATTAATCTTCAAGTCTGCCTCTAAAAATAACTGCGAACTCATGGAGAGGAGTTCGCAGGATGTCTTCTAACTCGTTCAACTCGATGAAGAATCTTAAGTTGGTAACGTCTTTGGAGTTTTACTAGCGGCAAGAAGAGGAACGTGCTGGACCCGGGTAAGTAGCAGGACGAGAGGCCTCGCCCTCGTCTCGGGATTACAACGAGTGAAGTGAGATCCGTCCCCGGGGTTTGTTGTTAACCAGGGCCGTAAGACTCCGAGAGATATTTCAATTTGAGGGGATTTGGGGCGGCTGCGAGAGTGCCGGCTAAGTGCCGAACAAACGTGCAAACAAACGACGGCAGCATTTTCCTCACCTTTCTCGCGTTGCACCCGACGACACTCTCTATTATCATTTGATTTCAGAATCCGTGAGAATAACCAGAGAATTCTATCCGTTTAAATCTCTTTGATATCAGGCTTGATTGATGCCCGAATTTGTATCTTTGGTCATACGAATAAATTTTTTAGTTTGTATAATTTAGACATTTAAACCACCAGCAATTTCAATGTTCAAGAAATTAATAATTTAGAAAATTCGCGAAATCCACAAACATATAAACAGGAACCTTTCCAAGGATTTCACTTTTCAAGTAGCTTGCCTATCAATATCCCAAGTGTGCGTCAGTCACACGTACACACACCGCTCTATGGATAGTCATTTGCCCGTTAAACTCTATACTTTTAATTCATTTACATATGTCAATCACGAGTAGGCACGTGAGGAGGTCGACCCAAAGTAAAAGATGCTACGTCTATCCTCACTGTGAACACTTGCAGCGTTACATTTCGGCAAATAAGAACAATAATGACAATAACAACTGCATCATGCAATCGCATCATCTCATTCACTCTCAAGACGTTTACCAACTGTCATTGTTTTTTGCGAAATTAGTATCTGTGTTTACTGTAGCTAATTGTTCCTGTCGCTGAAAATATGTGTGAGTCTAGACGTCCATTCTTCTACACTGACCAATCGGAGCCGGAGCTTTAAACACCTGGGTCGATCCCCTCACAAGCCAACTCATGTCGTCGGGATACATCTCTCAAACTATTCAACTAAATACCACTATACTACTTCGAAAATCTAAAGGAAATTCCAGAAAGCAGTTCATTTAAAGGCACGATTTGATCGGTAAGGAGCACAGTAAGTTAAAAGAGAGCGCAAACAGGGGTTGGGGAGAATACAGAAAAGTTGGTGGTAAAGTGTCAAGGTGTTTTACCTTTTCGAATATCCGGCCTGTGTGTCGAGTTCCTGCGGGACCTGGACTGTGCGGTAGAAAATCCACTGGAGGGTGTCGTGGGTGTTGCACGCGGTGTACTGGGGTTGCTGCCACCGGGGGTGTGAGCTCCATGACCCGTCAAATCGAGCCTTGTCAAACCCTCGTTCATGTCTTCCCGGAAGTTGCCCTGCGCGCATACTGCAAAACGCATCATACCCTCTTGCAACGTCGTCTAAGCTCAACCGTAATCTCCACTATTTATTAATTAATTTTGATATTAATTCGGGACTTTTCGCACCCTCGCACCCTTTGCCAAAAATTATTACTCTTATAGAAATTTTACTAAGACAGATAATATAGATTTTCTCGCGATCTTGTTATTTGAGCAACTTTTGATAATCGAGGAGTTTGTTTTGTGTGAAATACGAAATTATTTGAGGTTCAATTGTTGTTGAGGTGTCAAGTATATTTTTTTTGAGTTAACAAAATGTATAGATATACATACGGATAGCATATGTGTAGTGGAAGTATATATATGGAGATTTGATTTTTTATGTAAAAGGGGAGAACGTATAAGAATAATATTATCGTTTAGGGATGTAATGTAGTTACGGGCAGATTTGGTGTTTGTTGAACTGACGGCATTGCTACGGTGCGTGTAAGGAGATACGGAATTGCGTTTTCCATTTTATGAAATTACCAGTTTTCAAGTTTAGGAATTTAGGTATTTGGTGTCGATATTCATCTTGGATACTTAACTGCTTCTATAAATTTTTATAAATGCTTTTATAAATTTAAAATACGAGTTAAAATATGAAGTATAATTCATGAGAGAAAAATTTTAATAGGAGACGATAATACTTTACAATTTATAATAGAAAAATGTTTAATAGAAGATCATAATAGCACATAACTCGTAATAGAAAAAATTTATAACAGGAAATTATAACAGTGTATAATTTATAACAGAAAAATGTATAGTAGAAGATCATAATAGTTCATCATTTGTAACAGAAAAATTTATAACAGAAAATTAATTATAGTATATAATTTATAACAGAAAATTGTATAAGTGAAGAACATAATATCATATAATTTACACCAGAAAAATTTATGTTAGACTATAACAGCACATAACTCATAATAGAAAAATTTATAGCACTTCATAATAGTACATAATTTACAATAAAAAATTAAGAAAAAAAAATTCAAATTTCACGAGAAAGCAAAATAAAGAATAATATCAGTCGATAAAAATAAAATTATCATAATAAAAATAAAAATAAAATTATCAATACATACTTTCATAAGAAAGTGAACAACTCGTTAACACGAATAAAGTGAAATGCATCGAAATAAAGATATTAGATTGACGTGTATATCCGTCGAACGCAGTTAACCGAGTGTTGAGAATGTGTAGCCGTGGCAGGCGACGATGAAGTTAATCGGCCAGGTCGTTTAGTTTCGCTCCGTTTAGTTATATTTGGTTTCCACGGGGGCGGCAAAAGAGGAGGGACGTGGTTCACAATTAGTCGGCGCGTAACTCGGTCTGATTTAGTGCCACAGTGTCGGCTGCGAACCACGAAGACGCGCGTGTCACTCTTCCAGGATATTGCCAAGTGTGTTACCAGCTAACGAGCATGTTAGTCGTCTGTTAAACGCCCGGTATGGGGACCGAGGCAGGATATTATTTACGAACAGTTTCGACCACATTTTCTTTCGACTTTAAGAATAGAAACCGCGGACAGAGTAGCAAATTGCTGGTTACTTTCAAATTATTTACCTCGAGGGAACGAGCCTCTTTTTCTCCGCCATTAATCAGTTGGGACTCGAAAATGTGATGGACAATATTTTTGTGGGCTGAAATTTGTCAGTGCAAAAATTTTGAATTGAGAGGGGAGTTGAGATTCTTGCAATCGTTACTACATTCTAATTTGTAATCCGAGTTTTCATGTAATTCTAGTTTTTACACGTTATTCATTGTCATTGTGATTTTTTAGGTTAGAGTTATAAACATGATGTTCCTAGGTTGGCAATTGAATTTGCAAAGTATATTTTAAACAAAATTCATTATTGAAATTGTATAATTTATGGCTGTAATCTAGGTAAGCGCTATTGGAATTAATATCTTTTTGTCAAGTGTAAATTTAATTTTATATCTTAAATTCAATTTCGTATTGCGTTTTATTACTTTGTTTATTGTTTTCGAGTAAAGTATTAGAGGTCGTAAATTCAGTTGTCAATTTGATGAAATGTAGGTATTCAAATACTGCGAGAATTAAAGACGCTTTTAAATTTGGTATTTATTGCTTTCTTCAATTTTGTCATATATTCGTTTTTAAATTTCCCGCGCAACGGACATTTTAATGTACTTCCGTTTAACTTATTGTTAGAAGCCCAATGAAAGTAATTTATAGCAATTCTGCACAAAAATAAGTATATTATGCTTACTAAACATAGTTAATATATATTTATATTCAATAATACATTGAATTTTATAATAATAATGTATTTATTGTTATATAATTTACAAGCTTTGAATAGCAACAAATAATCAAAGATAAAAATTTCTTTTTAATATTTACTAAGTAGCTTATAACCAATAAGGCTTTTTTTTTAGTATTTACTGAATAGTTTACAAATAATACAGCTCTCTTTTAGTATTTACTGGATAGTTTACAAATAATAAAGATTTCTTTTAGTATTCACTAACTAACGCACAAATAATGCAATTTTCTTTTAATACTATTTGTAATAACAAAAATAATATATCTCTTTAGTAGCAAAATTAATTTTTGAATATAATAAAAATTAAACTTGAGGTTACTTATTGAGTTAAAGATTAAAAATTCTCAAATTATTGATCACTGCTCTAAATCAGTATAATAAGTGAACCTAAAGAATTACTTGAAATAAACTGTGCTATATTAAATAGTATACTCATTAAAATGATGTATACTATATTAAACAGTACACTTTTCAAAATGAAGTATGTTGTATTGTATGATATACTCCTTAAAATTAAGTATGTTGTATTAAGCAGTACTTTCTTTGAAAAGAAACTGTACTATATTAAGAAATATATTTTTTAAAATAACATTATATTAAATAGTATGCTTCTTAAAATAAAATATATTATATTAACAAGTACTTGTAAGTACTGTATTCCATAAAATGATCTATACTATTGTTACGGATAGAACTGGCCAATTGAGGCATTTCGGAGCATGGAATGAAAATTTAAAGATAAACATAAGATTTAATGAATTTAGCGGGGTTTTCGGGGACGACTGGTCAAAAGCAGCAGGCATGGCGAGTTTCCATGCCTCGAAGCCCTACGTGCACGGGGAAACCTGTGGCCGTATTCGTCGAACACCATGAGTGTCTCGGCATGAAAAACACCATCGTAGCACCGGGGGTAACCAATCCGCCCGGGAGTGGTGGTGCTCACCAAAACACCGAGGGCCACTCCGCTCGGGAGAGGTGAGAACCCGGGCGGGGGCGAGCTTGCTTGCCCTGCGCTCCGGCTAGCTGTCTGCGGGATCGGTCGCACTCGAAGACGATAGATAATTAATTTTTCTAAGAAATGTACACGTGCGTGGTGCACGTGGCAATGGCACGTGGCAAAAGTGGCACGTGGCACATGCTCTGAAATTCCGAGAAAAATGCCAATTAATAAGTATTTGATCCACCGCGAAATGCCGGCGAACCCAGGTGCGCACTTCGGCAGAAAAGAAAGGCACTCCTCGGCGACGTCTCCTGATGCGTAATTTTCGAGAAACGAGTACAAAGGCGCGGACCGCTCCGTTTGACGGCGGGTACCGGCAAGTGCCGGCGCGACATCGGTATCGGCGCGCGGCGTGGCGGCGCGGCGGCTCGGCCGCAAAGGGCGGGCGGCATCGCAAGGATCGGTCGTAGAGGGATGACCGCGAAGCCAAGGTCGACGGAGGGCACGTGGCAGATTTCGAAGAAATCGGGTGGTTGCTAGGAGACGTCGTAGGGGAGTGAAACGTATAAAATAGACGAGGGCACCGGGCCCGCACTTCACTTCGCTTCATTCTCTTATATTTGTTGCTACGCGCTTCTTTCTTTATATTTGTTGTTACGAGGCTTCACTTATAGCTTGTCACTACGGGACATACTTGTTGTCATTACGGACTTTACTTGTATTTGCAAAGACTTTCGTTGCGGGATCAAGTATTTCGGCTTTGATTGTAATATTGATGTCACTCGCAGACTAAATTATAATACGTGTGTTATATAATAATTGAAATAAACTGTGCGTATTCACCGTCGGAAAAATTGAGTTGTTCTGATACAACTATATTAAATAATATAATATTTGTTATGTTATTTACTGTTTAAATTTATTATTTAAAATTAGGTATGCCATAATAAGCAACCATGATATTTTATTGAATAGTATATTCCTTAAAATAAACTGAAATATATTTAGTACTCTATTCTTTAAAATGAATTATACTATATTAAGTAATATACTCCTCAAAAAGAACTCTACTATATTACGTAATACTCCCCAAATTAATTAAACCATATTAAACAACTCCTTAACCAGTTAACTGTGGCGATATTTTTGCAAAGCGCGCACCAGTGTGTTTCGCGATAATCAAGCGATGACGAGTTAGCTCTCAAGAATTTATGAATCCATCTCAAATCATTTACACTTTTTATTTGCTTATTTCATTTCGTGTTGACCTCTAAACATTTTAAACATATTACAATGTATGAATATAATTTAGTTTTCGCTAAAATTACAATTTTAATATCAAATTGTAACAAAATTTTACGCATGACCGATATAGTCGTTATGATACAAAATTCTGTCATATCTCCATGACGGATACAGTCGTCAAACACACTTAACTGGTTAACATTAACAATGCATAACAAGGAAATGGTTACCATCCCAAGAACGAAATAGTTTGGCAGAACTGTGAATTCGCTTCCAAACATTCTACCCTTAAATAAACTGTACCGAAATAGTTTCTTAATCTACGTCGTGCAAACAGATCGGTTACCTATTTGATCGGTTAACCGAATAGAGAACACGTGTAAAGAGCTACGAATGGCCATAGGTGGATAAGCTTCCACCCTGAAGAGGGTGAGTGGTTTGTTTGCCAGGGCAGTCCCCGAGGAAAAGCGAGCGCACCGCAGTTGATGTCGCGTTATCAACGATG